ATGGAACAAATACAGCATATGTAACTTTATTTGACGAAGCAGAAATTTTGATTGGTTGCACAGCTATTTGTTGGGAAATTACCCCAATTCCCCTAGTGCCAGATTTAAGAGAGAGAGCGAAAAATAAAATGCGCAAAATGGGGGGCACGCAAGATTTACGTGGTTCGGCACAAAATTGCCTACGTCCACGGGCTGCTGCAGATCTTTCACTATGAAGAGAAATTTTACAACACTCTTAATTTTCTCACAACTCAATCTCACTCTGAAAATTGCTCACAATTTTCTCTCACAAAGACTTTTCTCTAAGCCTCTCTTTTCTCTCTCTTGCTCTTCTATAAGAGGAGTTGTTTTTGGGATGAGTTTTCCTTGAGAGTTTGGGGGCCTATTTATAGTGTTTGGAAAAACACTATGTACTAATAATTTATTAGTGGTGGGCCCGCGATGGGGCCCGCCTACATTTTTTTCTTTGCTCTGGGGCCCACGGTTCACTCCTTTCAGTGGCTTTTACATTTTTGTCAAAATTGGCTGCCCCCTTGCTTTCGGTGGCAGCAACAATTGACTAACAACCTCCCACTTGAAGACTGATTTTAATCTGTCTTCACATCTCGATCTATACAACAGCTCTTCCCCGGTTTTGTTATTATTGCAAATTAACTAAAGCTGAACACAGCTTCAGTTTGTCAGTAGTCACCGTCTTTGTCAGCATGTCTGTCGGATTTTGTGCTCCACTGATCTTTTCAAGCTTCAAAATTTCATCTTCCAAAAGTGACCGGATGAAATGATATCGCATCTGTATGTGCTTCATTCTGGAATGAAAAGACGGATTCTTCGCTAGATGAATAGCACTTTGACTGTCGCAATATAAGACGTTGTCTTCTTGTTTCTTGCCTAACTCATCCAAGAAACTTTGAAGCCAAACCATTTCTTTGCTGGCTTCTGTAACAGCGACATATTCTGCTTCAGTTGTGGAGAGAGCAACTATCTTCTGCAGTTGAGAAACCCAACTCACTGCAGTACCTCCTAGAGTATAGACATACCCTGTAGTGCTCTTTCTGTGGTCAACATTTCCTGCTAAATCAGCATCCACATAGCCTGTTAGTATTGTATCTCCACATTTGAAACAAAGTACTTTACCTGTAGTGCCCCGTAGATATCTGAGGATCCATTTGACTGCTTCCCAGTGTACCTTGCCCGGATCATTCATGTACCTGCTAACAGCTCCCACTGCTTGAGCAATATCTGGTCTTGTACAAACCATGGCATACATCAGACTTCCAATTGCTGAGGCGTACGGGACCTTCGCCATGTGTGCACGCTCTTCTTCTGTCTTCGGTGACTGTTCTTTAGAAAATCTGAAATGAACACCTAAAGGTGTACCCACTGGTTTCGCATCTTGCATGTTGAACCTGGAGAGTACTTTGTTGATGTACTCAGCCTGTGATAACATCAAGGTCCTAGACTTCGTGTCTCTCTTGATCCTCATTCCAAGAATCTACTTTGCAGCACCAAGATCTTTCATCGCGAACTGCTTTGACAATTTCTGCTTCAAATTTATAATCTCTTGCAGATCTGATCCTTGCCTGTCTTTATGAAGCCTTCTGGTTGCTTCATATAAATCTCCTCCTCCAAATCACCATGAAGGAAAGCTGTTTTTACATCTAACTGCTCAAGATGTAAATTCTCAGCAGCTACAATTTTCAACACTAATCTGATTGTAGTTAGTTTCACAACCGGAGAAAAAATTTCATTGTAGTCGATACCTTCCTTTTGCTGAAAGCCTTTGACAACCAATCTTGCCTTGTAGCGCTTGTTCCCATCATGCTCTTCTTTGATCCTGTATATCCATTTGTTATGAAGAGCTTTCTTACCTTGTGGTAATTCAGCTAAGTCTCACGTCTGATTTGACATGAGTGATTCCATCTCATCTTGCATAGCAGACTCCCACTTGACTGAATCCTTCACCTGTATTGCTTCGTCATAACACTCCGGTTCACTGCTGTCAGTCAGCAACAAGTAGTGCAAAGAAGGCGAATAACGCTAGGTTGGCTTAGGAATTCTGGAGGAGCGTCTCATTTCTGGCGTGCTTGGTTCTTCTTGAACTGCTTCAGGGCTAGTCTGAACATCTTTTTCAGAAATCTCCTCAAATTCAGCAAATTCCTTTGTTTCAGCTTTTGTACTGGAGCTACTTGATTCTGCAGTTGATCTGTCTTTGTACATCACATTCTCATTGAATATGGCATCTCTGCTTCTGATGATCTTCCGATTTTCATAATCCCAAAATCGGTAATCAAACTCATCACCACCATAACCAACAAAAACACATTTGTTAGATTTGGCATCAAGTTTACTTCTTTCAGCAGAATCTATGTGTACATAAGAGATACAACCAAAGATTCTTAAATGTGAAAGGTTTACCTCTTTTTTGCTCCAAGCTTCTTCCGGTATTCCACCATCCAAGGGAACTGAGGGTCCGCGGTTGATTAGATAGGCTGCGGTATTGATAGCTTCAGCCCATAGGAACTTGGGCAAGCCGGCATGTAACCTCATGCTTCTGGCACGTTCATTCAAAGTTCTGTTCATGCGCTCCGCTACGCCATTCTGCTGCGGTGTCATGGGAACTGTTTTCTCCATCTTGATCCCGCTGTTTGCGCAAAACTCTTTGAATCTACTGTCTTTGTACTCTCCTCCATTGTCTGACCTCAACTTCTTTATCTTCAAACCAGTTTCATTTTCCACCATGGTCTTCCATTTTCTGAAGGTATCAAAGACTTCTGATTTCTTCTTCAGAAAATAGACCCACACCTTTCTTGTAGAATCATCAATGAAGGTGACATAGTACAGTGAGCCTGCAAGAGATGAAACTGGAGATGGTCCCCATACGTCGGTATGAATCAATTCTACCCTTTCTGTCTTGGGTGTCTTGCCAATCTTTGCAAAACTGACTTTCTTCTGTTTGCCAAAGATACAATCCTCGCAGAGGCCGACATCTACATTCTTCAGATCCGGCAGCTTCCCTTTTGACAGAAGTGTCTTCATCCCTTTCTCGCTCATATGGCCAAGCCTTTGGTGCCATAGGTTTGATTTTTCATCTGCATCTGTTATTGGAATGATATTCTCTAAGTTAGAGGTTATATAGAGAGTACCACTTTTCTTACCTCGAGCAATGATGAGTGCTCCTTTGGTAATCTTCCATTCATGACCCGAGAAGGTTGTACAATAACCCTCTCCATCAAGCTGTCCCACAGAGATCAAATTTCTTCTAAGGCCAGGAATATGTCTCACTCCTTGCAGCTTCCATGTGGTCTGATTTGGCAATTTTAATTGGATATCTCCCTTGCCAACAATCTTTAAGGTTTCATCATTTGCTAGATGTACCTTTCCGAAATCACCGCTGACGTAGTTCTCCATGATTTCTCGGCATGGGGTGGAATGGAATGATGCTCCTGAATCAAGAATCCATGATTCAATCGGACTGTTGACGCTTAGAATCATAGCATCACCTCCTTCCTCGGTTACGTTGGCAGACTCTTGTGCGCCGGTGTTTTTCTTCAGTGCCCGGCACTCCCTCTTGAAATGACCCTTCTTGTCACAATTGTAGCACTTGAAGTCTTTCTTTCCTGATCTAGATTTGCTCCTTCTAGATTTTGATCTGCCGTGATTTGAACTTCTTTCTAAAGTTCTTCCCCTAGACTCTGCGTGTAAAGCTGAGGAGGTTGAAGCTTCACCCGATTCTCTCCGTCGGATCTCTTCACTAAGAACCAGATCACGAACGTCATCGAACTTCAACTTGTTGTTTCCCGATGAGCTACTCACAGCCGTGACTGTAGCGTTCCAGCTTTCTGGTAGAGAGGAAAGAAGTATCAATGCTCGTACTTCTTCATCAAATTCAATCCCAACTGAACTCAACTGGGTTATCACTATGTTGAGTTCATTGAGATGTTGAGCTGTCGATGCGCCTTCCGTCATTCGCAAATTGAACAGCCGCCTCATCAAGTGAACTTTGTTTGAGGCAGAGGGCTTCTCGTACATGCTGCAGAGAGCCGCCATAAGACCCGCCGTGGTCTTTTCCTTTGCTATGTTGAAGGCAACGTTGCGGGATAGCGTCAATCGGATAACTCCAAGGGCTTGTCTGTCGAGGAGAGCCCACTCTTCATCCTTCATATCATCTGGCTTCTTTCCCGAGAGAGGTTGATACAGCTTCTTCTGGTACAGATAGTCTTCAATCTGCATCTTCCAAAAGCCGAAGTCCGCACCATCGAACTTCTCAATTTTTACCTTCCCTTCGTCTGCAGTCATCGCTCCCACTCGAATCTGACTTCCTCTAGACCGTTTCTGACAATTTCTGCGAACCACCGTGTATTAAGACACCTTTGCCGACAAGTCAGTACCCCCGGCAAAATTCTACTATTCACAAAATTTACTATTCACATGAATAGTAACATTGCAGAAATTTGACAGACGTCACAACCAGAGCTCTGATACCAGTTGTTGGGAAATTGCCCCAATTCCCCTAGTGCCAGATTTAAGAGAGAGCGAAAAATAAAATGCGCAAAATGGGGGACACACAAGATTTACGTGGTTCGGCACAAAATTGCCTACGTCCACGGGCTGCTGCAGATCTTTCACTATGAAGAGAAATTTTACAACACTCTTAATTTTCTCACAACTCAATCTCACTCTGAAAATTGCTCACAATTTTCTCTCACAAAGACTTTTCTCTAAGCCTCTCTTTTCTCTCTCTTGCTCTTCTATAAGAGGAGTTGTTTTTGGGATGAGTTTTCCTTAAGAGTTTGGGGGCTTATTTATAGTGTTTGGAAAAACACTATGCACTAATAATTTATTAGTGGTGGGGCCCGCGATGGGGCCCGCCTACATTTTTTTCTTTGCGCTGGGGCCCGCGGTTCACTCCTTTCGGTGGCTTTTACATTTTTGTCAAGATTGGCTGCCCCCCTTGCTTTCGGTGGCAGCAACAATTGACTTACACTATTGCATATGTAGAGATGTTTGAGGATGAATCTTCTAAATGTTACCAGAAAATGAAACCATGCTTAGAAAAGGAATATGTTTTCCTTGTGAAGATAAATGAGAAAGAAGAATCCAATAGAAAAGCAAGATGTATAATTGCGCAGGAGGTTCGAAAAGTAGAAGAAATACAACCTCCTACTGTGGAAACTGAAGAAACTGGCAGAAACAAAGTTATTGACGCCAGAAAACGACTATTTGGACTCAAGAGTGAAATGCTGAAGAAGAAAATGAAAATGGAACCAAGTACTTCAAGCAGCTGAGATTTGTATTTTTTTCGTTATAATGTTATTTCGTTCTTTAGCTGTAATGTGATCACTCTTTTTGTCATCTTTAATAATTAGTTTTAATTTTATATGGTTAACCGTTCTATTTTAATAATTAACCTTTTAATTCTTAGCTCTTGATTTCTCTTTGAACAATTATTTCCTACAAAAAGTACCTTCTCGAATAAGGATCGGCGCACACATCAATTATTTTCTTATATATAGATCATTACATCAGATGTCTAATGCGATATAAATATAAAGTTTTACTATAGCACGATCAAACATGCTGACTGATTATTGGACCCAATAGAGCTTAAACAAAGATTCGTTAATAAGAAACATATAAATGGACATAGCACATACTCAAATCATAGAACAGATAAATAAAACATGCTATGCACACAAATACGGAAGTTATAAGTCAAGTAATTTCTATTTTTTTATTTATTAAATATGTTTTAAACTTTTAGGATTACGATTTGTGTACTAAGGGATGATTCAAGTGAAGGATTTACACAGAGATTCGTCACTCTTCCTTTTAGAATTAATGTCATCATGATTAAAGAAAATTTTCAAGAAAGGCAAATAGTTTTGCCAATTAAAAGAATGAATGCGAACCATGAGTAAAATTATATTAAAAATACATGCATGCACCGATTTGCAAACACACGGACTTACCTCATCTATTTTTTCCATTAATGATAATTCCATTACTTAATAATTATTTGGCAAGTCATTATTACTACATAATTAAGTTATAAGTTAAGTCTTACCAAATAAAAATAAATAGGGAGAGCAAAACGTTTTTGGATTTGCTAAACCATTCTACAATTGGCAAATTATTTTTTCATTTATGATATGATAATTCCGTTACTTCATAATTATTTTTCATATCTATGATAATTAGGAATAAATAGGGGGAGAAAAAACGGTTCAATGATGCTAAATATATAGAGGTTTAATTATTACTAAATACAACAACTTTATCCTGATTAGGTCAATCACCAAAATTTCTTACCTAATGAAACAAAATTCTTAAATTAAAATTGATTCCAAATCTTTAAATAAATATTTGGCAAAACTATACAATTTCTTTTTTTTCTTTTTTGAAAAGAACTATACAATTTCTTTACAAAATGTTTCTACAATTGGCCAACTATACAAAACATTTTTTCTCTCCCTATTTATTCCTATTTGGTAAGATTTGGCTAGCAAATAATTATTAAGTAACAATGACTTACCTCATTTATGAATTATTATGAAGTAACGGTAATGACTTACCTCATTTATAAATAATTATGAATTATTATGAAGTAACGGAATGATACAATTTGCCAAATAATTATGAAGTAACGAACTTACCTCATCTATTTTTTCCATTAATGATAATTCCATTACTTAATAATTATTTGGCAAGTCATTATTACTACATAATTAAGTTATAAGTCAAGTCATTATTACTACGAATTATTTTTCCATTTATGATATGATAATTCTGTTACTTCATAATTATTATTTTCATATTTATGATAATTAGGAATAAATAGGGGGAGAAAAAACGGTTCTATGAGAGTGTTAGTCACCTAGAACTTAAAATTAGAACTGTGATAATCAGTGGGATAAAATTTTAAGGTGTTAGTCACATAGAACTAAATCTAGAACAAAATTTTAAGGTGTTAGTCACATAGAACTAAAACTAGAATAAAATTTTACAGTGTTAGTCAAGCAGAACTTTAACAAAACTAGAATTGGGATAATTGTACAAAATTATCCCACTTTTTTTATTTTTCTATACAAAAATGAGAGTTCTAGTCTCTCAAATTATTCCAAGTTTTAGCTTGGAACTATGTGGTAAAAAACTAGAACTCGTATTTATTTTGTTATTTTTTATTTTTTTCTTTACTTATTTCCTATTATGGTTATCACCATCATTAAACCATCATCATAATAATAATTGTCAATATCTTATAGTCTAACCAAAAGTTATTTAATAGTAACTTAATTATTACTAAATACAACAACTTTATCCTGATTAGGTCAATCACCAAAATTTCTTACCTAATGAAACACAATTCTTAAATTAAAATTGATTCCAAATCTTTAAATAAATATCCATTTTAATTAGATTTATTTTGAATTGTTAACAAATAAGAATAAATAGGGAGAGCAAAAACGTTTCAATAATGCTAAATATTGGCTACAAGTTAATTATTACTAAATACAACAACTTTATCCTGATTAGGTCGATTACCAAAATTTCTTACCTAATGAAACACATTTCTTAAATTAAAATTTATTCCAAATATTTAAGTAAATATCCTCAAAATATTTGAATTGCTTTCATATCTGTATAAATCCCACTCACCTTCTCTCCAGAAAATTGTTCAACCACTCATCCAAACTATAAACCTCCCATACCCTTAATATCTCTTCTCTCTATTAGAAAAAAAATTTATTAATATATCTTCTCCAAAGTTAGTTATGTTATTTTAAGAAGTATATATTTATTCGAGAAGTCTAATGCTAAGTATGAGAAGCCAATAATATTTATTTTTTAGCTTGAAGAGAACCTGGTAGAGGCACAGGAGCAAGCATTCCACTTTTGTGAAAAGAAGGTATTTGTTTGTTGCAATATTTCTATTTTTATTTCGGGAGTTTCTATCTATTTTTGTAGCTATATCCACATCATAATATTTTTGAAATAGGTACACGTGCTTTGTACATTCCATACCATAATTTGATAGCTAACTTAGCATATATACAGCACAATGCAATATGTAAAATTCGTATCACCTCTTCATCACAGTAATATGAAAATGTAATTATTTCATGTAATTTTCATATTTTATTGATATCTAATTTCCATAGATACAACAAAATAACTTCACATTGTGAGAAATACCAAGTCAAAATATGATACTATTATTTATTAACATATTAAGAACACTTTACACATGCACACAATTTTTTTATGAATCACAACAAACTATTAATCAACCATCATCAGTGAACATCCAATATAAATCTGAATATTCCAAGTAAACAATATGAAGAAACAATATTGATTAACAAGCTAATGAGAACAACTAAAATAATCTTAAGTCCTCTACTCAATTAGTGAATTTTCACTCTAAAATTTGCATTAAAAAGCAACCAGCACTGTCAGGAATCCATAGTATAACTATATAATTATAAAAGATAATCTATATATACTATTTGCACAACAAACAAAAATAATCAATGAAACAATGTGGTTGTAAAATTTATACAATCCAAAATAATGTCAATATCCAAAAATTCATCAAGATTTGGAAAGATATGGAGAAAGAAGAGAAAGACCGCACAGCTAATATTTGAACCTAAATGGATCAAGGACTAATACAAATAAATTCAAGGCAGAGCAACACTATGTTCATATAGGGCATTGTTTATTGTAATTAAGTAACTACTTCACTGACTATTCTTTGCATGTGGATCTTTGATCAATTTTCAGTTTAAATTTGTAACTTTTATTGATTTTACGGATTCTCATAATTCTTAGTGAAAAAATTTAATCCTGTGCTTTTAGTAATATTTTGATTTTATAAATTTTCATTAGCATTCTACTTCTGACTAATCTTATTGAAAATTCTCGCTCATCGCCAGACCAAATTTCCTTCATTCTGCATATATATATTTATGAATAAATTGTTCCATACAGTTACTTATATTCCATTGCTTTTGCATGTGTTTCATTTCAACAGACTAGACTAGAGATGACTTTTGATGGAGGTTTGAACTATGTTCTTAATATCTAAAATGTTTCCTTCAATTCTAAAATATAATTATCAATAAATTTTAATATAAATTTGCAGATGGAGAGACCTCAAGAAAGCGAAAGCGGAATAATTACTTCAAAGATTACGATACCAATCTCACTCAAGAAGAGCGGAATTCTTATATAAATAGATCCATTGAAAATAGGAGTGAATCAAGTCTCAGTGCCTCGAATGATCATCATAGTCCCGCTAAACGACGAGTCAAGTTGTTACTTCGTGCTACGCAATCAGAATATCAATTTCAAGGTATATTCAACACACTAAAATTATATAAAACTCATGGTATACAAAATTAAATACTAATCGCTTAATTTATTTTATAGGAAACATATTCTATAATCCTTCATGCTCAGAGTTACATCAAATGAAAGTAGTCCCGCACTTTATTCATTATGGAGCAAAGAAATTTGAGCATGAAGTGCCAACATTTTGTTGCGATAATGGACGAATCAAATTGGCTTCAACGCATGTCCATCCAACTCTTTACTCATTGTTCACGTCCAACACTACAAAAGCAATAGAGTTCCGTAAAAATATCTGAAAATACAATAGTCTATTCTCATTCACCTCATTTGGAGCTACTATTGATAAAAGTTTGGCATCATCGACGAACGGTGTTTATACATTTTGAGCACAAGGGCAAATTTACCACCATTAACCGGGTTTGATACCAAACACAGATAAACGTGCTTTTTTCCAATTGTACTTTCATGATTGTGATAATGAGCTTCATAATCGGATGAAAATATTGTAAAATAACATAATTGATGAGGACGTTATGAAAATGGTGATAGAAATCTTGAAAGATAATTCAATATGCTATATTCCTTCGTTCATTGAGAGATCTTGAACCATTCAAAGATATCCGCGTTTGTATTGCTACAAATACCAACCTTGATCAACGGGTCTATAATACACCAACATCCAATGAAGTTGCTGCCATATGGATTGAAGGGAATAATTCAAATATTCCATTTGAAAGGGAGATTGTGATTCATGAACACTCTGGTCAAAGACATTATGTGAAGCATTATTATGGTTGCTATGATCCATTGCAATACCCGCTTTTATTTCCGAAAGGTGAATCCGGATGGCATCAAAATATCAAAAAAATTGATTGCTCCATCTCCAAACAAAACAATAATTCAAGTAAATTTTGATTCTCATCGGTACAAGAATTATTACAACAAGAACATACATGTAAATTACTCATAAATATACTTATTTTAACATTTGTGGTCAATAATATTTCTTCATATATTAAATGTTAATAAACTTTTTCCATATAGGTGTCACTATGCCAAAACAATCTCATGTTTCATGCAGAGAATATTATAGCTACAAGTTACAAATAAGAGAATCAGAACCATCTGTGTTTTTGCTTGTTGGAAGATTGTTACAACAATTTGTAGTAGACATGTATATCAAACTTGAGACAACTAGACTTGATTACTTTCGGAACAAACAATCTGAAATAAGAGCTGAAGTGTATCAAGGAATAATGGATAGTCTAACCACCGGTGAAACTCGAGGTGATCAAGTTGGGCAAAGGGTTATCTTACCCGCATCTTTCATTGGAGGACCAAGAGACATGCGGCGTCGGTATATGGATGCAATGGCTTTGGTTCAGAGGTTTGGTAAACCAGATATTTTTATTACGATGACTTGTAATCCAGATTGGAAAGAAATAAAAGACAAACTTCTAATGGGACAAGTTGCTCAAGACAGACCTGATTTGACATCGTGTGTATTCCATTCAAAACTTGAAGACCTAAAAGATCAACTATTCAAAAAGAATGTCTTTGGAAGAGTTGGAGCGCATGTGTACGTGATTGAATTTCAAAAAAGAGGGCTTCCACATGCTCATATCTTGGTTATATTGAAAGAAGATTGCAAAATCTTAACTCCTGACCAGTTCAATAAATATATTTCAGCAGAAATCCCAGATGTGTCTACTCATCCAAGACTTCATGAAATGGTTGTCAAACATATGACGCATGGTCCCTGTGGAAAACACCGCATGGACAGCCCTTGCATGGTTAATCAAGAATGTAGACATCATTATCCACGACCTTTTTCCTCTAAGACAATAGTTGGTAAAGATTCATATCCAATTTACATGAGGAGGAATAATGGTAGAAAAGTATGTGTGCGTCGAGCAGAGTTGAACAACCAATGAGTTGTTCCTTATAGCCATATCTCCTTACCAGGTACAATCTTCATAATAGCTTTAAAGTTTATTATTTATGAGAACATTTCAACAAAAAATATACTATGTGAGAAAATCTCTAAATATGATATCGGCATATCTTCTTAACAGGCTCAATTGCCACATTAATGTTGAGGTTTGCTCAAGTGTAAAAGCGATCAAATATTTATATAAATATATATATAAAGGGCACGACAAGATCTCTATCTACCTTGCACACAACGAAGAGCAAAATAAGTTTGATGAAATAAAACATTTCCAAGATGGACGGTGGGTGTCAGCGCAAGAAGCATTTTGGAGAATGTATGAATTCAAGATGAATGAAACAACTCCTCCAGTCATTAGTCTTCAGTTACATCTTCCAGATAAGTAATCAATTTGTTATTGGCAACATCGAGATCTTCGTGATGTAATAGGTTCAGAAAGATCATCAAAAACTATGCTCACTGAATTCTTCACAAAAGGCACAACAACTGAAAATGCAAGGCAATTTCTATACGTCGAATTTCCTGAACACTACGTGTGGAATAACCAAGCAAAGATTTGGTCTGATCGGAAGCACAAACTTGTCATTGGTCGTATAAACGCTGCAAACCCAAAAGAAGGAGAGAGATATTATTTATGTCTATTGTTAAATCATGTGAGTGACCTTACTTCATGTGAATATCTTTTAACAGTTGATGGTATTGCATCTAAGTCCTTCAAGGAAGCTGCACAAAAAAGAGGATTACTAGAAGCTGATGATAGTATTTCCGATTGTTTAGTTGAGGCCACTACCTTCCAAATGCCTTATGCACTACGAAGATTATTTGCCATTATTTTAGTTTATTTCCAACCATCAAATGTAAGAAAATTATGGAACGATCATTTTAAAGCGATGGCAGAAGATTTCAAGGGAGGAGTAGATGAATACATGCTACCAGCTCGTGTTGCATGGACATTAAAAAGCATTAGTCTATTCCTTGAGAGTATGGGTAAACATATTGCAGATTATGATCTACCATTACTGATACATGATGATGTTAAACATATTGCAGATTATGATCTACCATTACTGATACATGATGATGTTGACCAATGTCAAACTTTACCGATAGAAATTATTGATGAAAGGGAGATAGACATTCCATTTGAAGATTTTTATGCTCAATCAAAGTTAAACCCGAGGCAAAAACAAGCCTTCGATATCATATTAGATAGAGTCAACAAAAAAAAATCTGGAATATTTTTTGTGGATGGTCCAGGAGGAACAGGTAAAACTTTTCTTTATCGTGCATTGCTTGCAAATCTAAGATCAAAAAAGATGATAGCATTAGCAACAGTGACATCATGAGTGGCTGCAGCAATAATGCCAGGAGGGCGAACTGCACATTCGCGATTCAAAATTCCAATTACTGCTAATGAAACTACAATGTGCAATATATCAAAGCAGGATGGAACATCAAAATTGATACGATTGGCATCACTTATAATATGGGATGAAGCACCTATGGCAAAAAGATTTGCGATTGAGACGGTTGACAGAACATTGAGGGATGTAATGGGTGACAAAAGAATTTTTGGTGGAAAAGTAGTCGTGTTTGGAGGTGATTTTCGTCAAGTTCTACCAATTGTTCCACGGGGCACTAGAGCAGAAACAGTCAATGCAAGTCTTGTGAAATCATATCTGTGGGAAAAATGGAGAAATTATCTCTCACTATTAATATGAGAGCAAGAACTGATCAAGTATTTGGAGAGTTCTTATTGCGCGTGGGGAATGGAGAGGAACCCACAATAGATGAGAATTTGATACTTCTTCCACATGAAATGGTAATAGAATATGACAATGATGAAAACTCTAAAAAATTTTTGATTGATGCTATCTTTCCATCATTACAAGCAAATTCATCATCTGCTGAATACATGACACAACGTGCTATTCTTTCAACAAGAAATGAGTATGTTGATGGACTTAATGAAAAATTAATTGCATTATTTCCTGGTGAAGCTAAAACATTCTTTAGCTTTGATGAAGCAGTAGATGACACAAATAATTATTACCAAGAAGAGTTCTTGAACACCTTAATGCCGAATGGACTCCCGCCTAACAAATTGATTCTTAAAAGAAATTGTCCGATCATGCTGTTACGTAATCTTGATCCATCTAATGGAATGTGCAATGGCACGTGAATGATCTGTAGAGGATATGAATATAATGTTATCCATGCTAAAATCACAATTGGTCAACATTCTGGTCAAAATGTCATGATTCCGAGAATACCATTATCTCCAGCTGAAAATGAGGGTTATCCATTCCAATTTCGTAGAAAACAATTTCCAATCCGACTATGTTTTGCAATGACAATAAACAAAGCGCAGGGACAAACAATACCTTATGTTGGAGTTTATTTTGCCACACCATGTATTCTCACATAGTCAATTATATGTTGCATTATCAAGGGGGATATCAATGAGAACAACTAAGGTATTAGTAAAAGTTGACCAAACAAGAAGAACAACAAAAACATACGAGGAAAATATTATGTATCCAGAAGTATTATTGCCTCAAAGGTAAATCACCTCATCAAAATCATGACTCATTATTTTTTCATTCTATGATGCACATTTTGTACAAATTAACTTTCAAACAATTATTATCTAACACAATATTCTAATATGCAGCGAAGATGTGTATTAAAGTTGTTAACTATTTACAATGCAACGGACTATCTTTGATCTCAAAGGTAATTTCCCCATTTATGTAACATTTATAGTTAGGTTTGATCATCCATAAGTTTATGATGTCTGATCATGCTCGATTCAGTTCTGTTTGCAGGTCATGGACTCTAGCCATTATAGATCAAATTGCCTTGCTGCAGCCCGATTCCCCATGGCTCTCTACAGTTTAACAAAGATGCATCTTTTGAAGTTGATGAATCCTGCTAAAATTGAGCTCCTTTCTGTCTATTTATATCAAACTTAAAGAAGATATGATTATGCTACATTAAGTGAACATATAATTAAATAATTTCGGTTACTTCATTTATTTATGGTTTTTTGGTCAATATACTGGTTTTTTATATGCTAAATTAGTGTTTTTATGATGCTATTTATAATCCTATAACATCTATTTATATCATAAATAATATATATATTATCTATGACATCTTTCATGTATATGTCAAGTAGAAAAAAAAGTAATCAATGCAATAAAAACTATAATGCTACATATAAACATAAAAGTATTTACACGTGCAACGCACGTGCACCATACTAGTATTAATAAATGTGTGGCTACAAACTTTGGTGGACATCAACTTAAGTTGATAGGAGTCTTGCTCTCTCTTATATATAAAAATATATATTATATATAAAATTAAAAACCGGGCCGGGCAGGGCCCAAGTTGGCACCACCTGGGTCGGGACCCAGCCCGGAGCCTAGCCGGCCTGATTTTTCAGAGCCTTGCGAAGCCAGGTCTGGGCCAGGTCCGGGTCTGGGCCAGGTACGGGCCTGAAGCCCATTTGGACAGGGCTAGCAAAATGGACTCTCCATATCCATTTTCATCCTCAATTTCGGCCTTTGAATGCCAACTCCAATAGCCACTCATAAAGTTCATATCCATCCACGTAAGCATTACTCTCACACACCAGAAAAAGACAGATGCTGTTTAGATATTCCTCCGGTACAATTTAATCATAAACATTTCCCCGGGTTAAGCATTACGAATATTATTTGGTATCATATCTATTCTTTATGAGTCTCAAATCCTTCTTCCAAAATCCTAGGGCGTATGACAACTTCACAAAATTAGTTTTGGTTGGTACAATCTCGGTCTAAAAGTTAGTTTTTGGTTTGACAATATTTGGACTAAAATTAAGTTAATTTTCGTTAGTTCGAATTCTAGCAAATAAACTAGTTCTATTTCTGATCAATTCCCATCAACAAACTCTAGCCTAATTAAGCTAAAACTTGTTCAGGCCCAATCCAAATTTAGAATTGGCAAACACACTGATATTTTCTCTTCTAATTTTGAAAATGATTCTAATCTGATGATTTTTTCTTCTGTTCTATTTTTTCCCCCGCGATTCATTCTTCATTAATATCAAGTTTCTTCTAAAAAATTACACAAAGCAAATCATTCAACAACTTAACCCAGCTAACCATCTCTTTCCTTACATTGTTCCGGCGGCACACTTGTCCACCAACGGCTCCCAAACCTACGGTACAAAACCAATACCCTCGCCATTATCCATCTCTCTCTCTCTCTCTCTCTTCAGCGTGCTTCATAATATTTTATATATTAATTATTAAAACCAAATAAAAGC